GTGGTTTCTGCGGTGTGAGGGTATGGCCCAGAGGGCCCTAGATGTAAGTAGTGGTAATGGTCCTTTGACTGAAAAGTCCTATGACTATCACTCAACATGGATGTACTGACTCCCATCCCAGCCCTGCTCTAGCCTTTGAGCCCCACTCCTCTCCTGGAGCATGGGATAGGACCCAAGAGGCCTTGTTCCCTGACATGCTCCCAGCACCATTAAAGGGGCCCCAGGGAGATTGTGGAGGAGACCGGTCTGAGTGCAGCTGGGAGAAGGATCAACTTCCCCACAGACGAGACACCAGCAAGGAGAGAACCTGACTGCTGCTAGAGTGGGCGCATCTACACTTGCTGTTAGCATGCAAAAAACTCTGGTACATATCACACTGGAGTGTATTGCTCCTGGGCACACCATCTGAATGCGAGCCTGAGACTCCAGCATGCTAAACCAGGTCAGAGCATGCTAAACCAGGTCAGAGAAACCCTAACTGGCAGGGGGCCCAAAGGTTCAGCCTGCCACCCTGAAGCTGCTCCAACCCAACTCTATGTGCTGTGGAAGGGCTGGCTGGGGCACGAGTGTTCTCCCGTGTGGGGCTAGCCAGCAGGCAGCCCTCACACAGAAGCACTCTCATGCCCCAGCCAGCTGTGTTAGCATCTATACATGCAGTGCTGTGAAGTAAAAAACTCCACAAAATGGTAGTGCTTGTAAATACTCCCTGCTGTGGAGTTTATTAGTTTCCTGCAACCTAATGGGGGCACATATGTAGATACAAGATATGTGCTGTGGAGCTAGTTAGTCTACTCCACTGTAAGTGTCTTGTGTAGACACACCCAGCGAGTTGCACTTAAAAGGCCACAGAAGTTAGTGCAGTCAGTGTGTTGTGAAGTGCTGAAAGTCCTTGTGCCACCTAGAATCTGCTGTGCATGAGGGAAAGGTCCTTATGAGACTGATAAGTTGAAGTTAAGTTATACTGGTGAAAAAGGAAATTTTGTTATCAGATTTCCATGTAGAGTTTCATGGCCTATATTACAGATTGTGTTCTAATGCCTATGCACATAAATTTATCTGACTTGTTTGTACCCTCTTGTTACTAAAGCAACGCTTGGGGACACTGACTCCCCACAGCCACACCAGCCAAGGGGTTACACTTGCAAATAAGACTCACAGACCACTGAGAGACAGACCTGCCCATCTGAAGACAGTGTTTGGAAGTGCTGTTTTATTCCCTCTTCCCACAAACTGACACACTGATCTGCCTCTCTCTCATCCCTCCAGCAATGGTGCACACTTATCTCATATTTTCTAGCAGCAAATCCCAGGCATTAGAAGGAAGGATCTAGAACAGAGATGCTCAATCTCTGGCCTACAGGCCAAGTGTGGCCTGTGGAGCCTTGGACTCCAGGCCGCACCAGCACCTAATAGAAAGGAATGTCACTTCCCTCGATCAGCTGGCAATGCTCCTACTAATGCAGACTAGCATACTGCTAGCCTTCTTAGCAACAAGGGCACTGATGAAGCCACATCTGGAATACTGTGTCCGTCCAGTTTTGTGCCTCCCACTACACAAAGGATGTGGACAAGTTGGAGAGAGTCCAGTGGAGGGCAATGAAAATAGTTTGGGGGCTAGAGCACATGACTTCTGAGAAGAGGCTGAGGGAGCTGGGCTTATTTAGTCAGGAGAAGAAGACAGAGAGGATTTAAATAGCAGCCTTCAACTACCTAGAGTGGGGTTCAAAAGAGGATAGAGCTGGACTGTTCTCAGTGGTGACAGATGACATTAAGAAGCAATGGTCTCAAGTTGTAGCAAGGAAAGTTTAGTTGGGTATTAGAAAAAACTCTCAAAGAGGATAGTAAAGTACAGGACCAGGCTACCCAGAGAGGTGGTGGGGTCTCTCTCCTTCGAGGTTAAAACCCAGGTGAACAAAGCCTTGGCTGGGATGCGACAAGGGTAGCCAGCCCTCCAGGATTGCCGTGGCGTCTCTAGGAGTTAGATACAAATCTCCAGGAGATGCTGAGAGTCACCCAGGAGATAAACAATAGGGCATTCATTAAAATAAATATTAAATGCTGGACCAGATTTGTACAGTAATCCAGTAAGTAAAGTCTATGCATCAAAAACTGTAACTGATATACATGGGCACAATCGCGTTGCATGTCACAGGTATGCTGCCGTTCTGGAAACCTCCCCGAACAGATTCAAACGGAGCCGGTGACCCTACATGAGACAGCTGGGGCTGGCCCTGCTCCGTGCGGGGGGCTAGCCCTGCTCTGTGCAGGGGGCTAGCCTAGACGTGAGTCCCTGAGGTCCCTCCAAACCCGACGTGATTGCACGACGAGGGGAAGACCCGCCCTGTAGCAGCCCAGCGGGCACGAGGGTGCCCCCTCCACACTCCTGGGCAGCTCCAACAGCCCGGCTGTCACTAGAGGCGCCCGCAGGCGGCACCACGGGGCGGGGCAGAGAGGGCAAAGCCTGCCCGTAGGATGAGGAGACCCGAGGGGGATCATGGCAGACCCCCGCCCCGGCCTGGGGTGAGCCGAGCCGAGCCACACTCACGATCATGTCCTCGTGCGACGTGTCCACGGTGTTGATGACCGACACCTGCGAGGAACAAGTGGGGTAGGGTCAGGCCACCAGCCCATGTATCGCCGCCCCGTCCCCGTCCCCGTCCCCGTCCCCGGCTCCTACCATGGCGGCGGCTCCGGCCTCGTCCCGCTCCCGCTCCCGCGGCGGCGGCGCTCAGACGTGGCAGCGCCCGGGTCCGCCGGCAAAAACGTCCCGGCCGGAAACAAGCGCGAGCGCCCCCGGGTTCATCCTCCCCAGCACCCGGGTCCGCCGGCGGAAACCGCCCGGTCGGGAACAAGCGCGGGCACGCCCAGGTTCCGCCCGCCCCCAGCGCCTGGGTGGGGGACCTGGGGTGGAGACGCACAAGATTAGTCTGAAGCCCAGAGGAGGTGGTGGTGGTGCTGCTCTCGTAGACTCACCCAGGAGCTTTTCCTGGCGGTGTCTCGTGCAAGTGATGATTCTGCACAAGCAGCCTCAGCTCACAAAACCTTGTGTTATCTATATAATATAGATAGATGTCTATACAGACTGAGCAAAGAAGAGAGCTCTCTCTGCACATCTCTGCTTTGAGTCTGTAAGGTGCAAACCTCCCTGCTTCCCGCTTGACTTCAGGCTAACTGTCCTTTCACAGCAGCTGATAAAACAAGCAAACCTCAGCTCATAAATGCTGCTGTATAAATAGCGGTATAGATAGATGGATACAGATAAAATGCAAATCTTTCTGTTTGATTTCAAGCTAGCCTTTCACTGCTATAGGCATATCTAGGTAGGTAGACAGATATAACTCAAGCTTTTGGGAGCTGAGGTTCACTTCATCCTGTGAAAGAAGGTGCAGAAAGCGGAGAATAAGGAGAGAAAAATTACAGTACAACATTCAAGGGCAAGAAGGGGGTGGTGCTGGGAGAGAGAAGCAAACAGGTATTAAGCCCATATTCAGAAATCTGAAGAGAAGTCTGCCAATGTGGCGGCTGCATTCCCAGGGGTTTTACTACTTCATGTTTAGCCACTTGACCTCCCCCAAAAGGCTCAGATCAACAGGAAGTAAAAAAAAAAAAAGAAGCAATAATCTACTTTAAAATATTATCTAAAAGACAATTTTGCATCCTTTAAAAAAGGCATTTAACAGCAACAAGAAATATATCCATTCATCAAACATAGTCATAACAGAGAGAAACCATTTCACGGGCTAAGGGGTTGTGCGCTGACATTTAAAAGAAGGAAGGCTCAGAGAGATGTGCAAAGATGCAATAATTTGCTAGACTCAGACAACAACAATGAGGCCTTCAGGAAATGTTTCAAGAAGGGATGGGATTTAATTTAGAGCTGTTGCTCTTGTTTCCTGGAAACAGCAGCGAGGACAATAGATTGGGGGACAGGTGTTTCTAGTCTCAACACTGTAGGTGGCTTCTCTGAGGTCTTGGGTAAGTCATGTTATGTTTCTCCATCTCAATTTCTCTATCTGCACTGGGGAGAATGATGTCTATTTTCCTGTGTGACTTGCTTTGGGACCTTCAGATGAAAGTGTAAAAGTTAATAATGTTCCCCAGATGTTTAAAAGCCAAAAGGATGGAATTAATGTTAATCTGCAACTTTACAGGCCACAGCGTAAAGACTGAAAGGCAGGTGCAATCTGATCATGGTTTGCAGAAGACAGTGCTTCTGTATTTGGGACAGCTTGATAGCAAAGGAGATAGTGTAGTGCTGTAGGAGAGAACCGGAAGCACCTGTTTTGTTCTAAATGCATCACGGCCACCTGAGTGCACCTTGCAGCCTCCTCATCATCACATCCTTCCCTTCACGCATTCCCAGAGCTGAGCTTACTGCCTCTGAAGTGCTCTGGGCTCAGCAAAACAAGAGCCAGTAAAAGTGAACTTCATTGTCCTTTCACCATGAGGCACTTCCTTATATTCGGACAGTGCTGGCCTGACACACCAGGGCTCTGGTCCCTGACTGAGGTCCCTGAGCACAACCACAGTGATAATGTAGCAGGTGGACTTTAAGGAAACAGATAGGTTTTTCAGCACTCCTGCCATGTAAAAGCAGTGTTCCCGCTTATATTCTTCCAAGTCATTTTACAGTGCAATATACTTCTTGTTATTATTTCTGCTTGTTGACTTTTTGCATGTCTTGCAGCTTGGGTAAGAAAATCAGCTTGGCACTTTCTGTTCCTGATTCTTCTGCAATAGCGCAGAGATGCATGGGGTTTCCAAAACATTTACATTCAAACAAAAAGCTTTGCTAATATTTAATTTAAATGGAGAAAAGCTTCCATTCCCATTCTGGTTTGTAAAACAAACGACTCTATGGCCCTATAATTGCATATTGGGGCTCTGTTCCCTTTACATGCATAACCATTTATAAAGTGGTATCACTGAGATCTCTAGATCATTCAGATAATTTGCTACTGAAAGGAGGGAGAATGGTCTTGTAGTCAAGGACGTTATGAGATATGGATCTAATTCCTGCCCTTGCCACAGACTTCCTGACTGACTTGGAACAAGTCAAGATACAGGTGCAAAATGAGTTATAACGCTGTCTTTTTTTCTTCTAATTGTTTGTGTTGCCTCCTTAGAACGTGAGCTGTAAATGGGACCAAAGTAGCCTTAAATGCTTTGGGAATTGGGACCACGAGCTGCTCACAAAAACGATCTTGTGATGGAAGTTCTAATCCTGTTTAGCCAGTGACGGCCATCACTTCAACAGTGGTGGCTGCTTGCCTGTTCTTTGCCACCATAAGTTGTGGTGCCATATATTGAATATAACCCAAGAGGCAATGGTGATGCCTGTGTTTCTCCTGTTCTCTTGAGGCATGTTTTAGTCCCCCTCCCTTTTTTTTAATCAGGTGTTTTCTGTCTCTGAGGCACCAGAAGATGTTCTTGCGGATGCTTTTTGGACAAAGAGTTGCCTGCGATGGCTTGGGAGACCCCTTCCAGTCCTGTATTCCTTACAGGAGAAGCGCAAGATGGAAGAAGGGAAGGAAGAAAGGACAAAGCGTGCTGGGAGAAGAACATACGGTTGGATCCGCTTGTACCCGCGCAGTCTGCAACGTTCGAGTCAAATTTTGAAATAGTCCCAACAAATGCTCTTGCTGAGACCAGTCGTTCCTGTGAGCTGCCCAACACACCATCATTGCTTGGCAACTTGCCATGGGCCTTGTGCTGTTCTCGGAGAGGATTTGAACAGCAGGGCTGGACCATTTGGGTTAGGCGAGGAGGCTGTTTTGTCCGGAGGGAGCAGGAGAGAAGATGCTGGTGGAGAAGCAGCCAAATGGACCGCGGAGGCCAGGCCTGTTGAAGGAGCAGAGGAGACAAACCAACAAGACGGGGGAGGTTAATTTCCAGAGTTACTGACCCACAACTGTTTAGGGGCCCCCAGAAAGATACAGTTTTGACGTGAAGAAGTGAAGGGGCGGCAAGCGGATGGACACAGGAGACCCTCGTCTGCGGGGCCCCCTGCGGCCACAAGTTTTGGGAAGTCCCGAAAAGCCGTGGCAAGGGCTGCATTTGACACGACAGAGGCAAGTGGGGAGCTGCCGCAGGCGGAAGCAGGGGTCACTGGAAAGGCTCCTAGACACGATGGGGAAAACAGGATTTCTTTTATCAACCTGAGCCGTTTCTTTCATAGTGATGATGGATATAAGAAGGAGCGCAGTTTTCCCCAATTAAAGCGCAGAGGTGGAGGACGAGGCTGAGCTGCCAGCACGGCTGTCCCCAGCAGGCGGGGGCAGGGCCCGGCGGGGCGGGGCGCGGGGCT